TGGATAGAGCTTGACGAGTTCTATCATCTGGCATCATTTTTGCGGTTTGGTCCGGTGCCTGAGCGAATCCCTGCAGCTTTTACACAGAAAAACCAGTTTTTTGCACTTAATTAGCAATTTAGGAAGGGTTGCTAGAATATAAACAATCTCAAAAAGTATTCATTCGATAGAGCTCATTGAGATCTATCTTGGTCCGCATCATTTTCCTTTTGGTCCGGTGTCTGGGCGAATCCCTACAGGTTTTACGACAACATGATGCGTTTTTTGGTGTTTTTTTTGCAGTATTTCAGGTTTTTCTCCAGGTTGGAAAGATGCTAGAGAACAAATAAATAGTGGAATCGATAGAGCTCATCGAGATCTATCTTGGTCTGCATCGTTCTTTTTTTGGTCCGGTGTACCGGCGAATCCATACAAGAAAAACTCGAATCCAGCTCCAAAATATCCTACGTATTTCATCAAGCATTAGGTTACAGGCATTTTTAAAAATTCATCTTTTTTCTGTTTGTTTAAAATGCTTATTTAAAAGCAAAACATAAAACTTGAGATTCTGTAAGAAAAGATACACTTTATTTAACGAATAGATTCTCTTCTATCCTTTAGAAATAAAGGTAATCGTACAGCAAAGTTCAGTACAGAATGCAGAAGTTTGTTTTTGGTGAGATGTTTTCCTGAACGTTTAATATCATTTGACGATATTATTTTTTTTGTTACGTCATCACATTTTTATAGATACAGGTAATTGGTCCCATGTACGGTAATCGGACAGATATAAAATGGATGAATTCTTTTTGCCTCTTTAATCTTTTTTTTTATCTCATACTTTCTGGTTTTCAATTTTGCGCATTTTAACTAAATTATTATAATTCTCATCAATGAGGATTTATATTTTAACATCGTTTTTGTATTAATTATCGTACATTCCATTTACAAATTTAATCCGTTCCATTTTCTGAATATCAATTAGTTTTAATGGTTTTGCTTTTTCTTTGAGAAACAGACAAAAACTTCTAGTAATATTAGCTATGCATTTTTTGTTGAAATCTTTATTTAAGTAGCTTTAATATAGATATTGAATTATGGTTGTCGAGCAGAAACTTTCTGAGAAAAAATGTCTACATACTCATATCCTTATTTCAGCTGTAAAGACGGATAAAAATTCGTAGACTTGTTGAAGATTAGAATATATTAAAATAAAATATGAGAACGTTCTTTTTTAATGCATTATCTGTTTATTTTTGATTGCTAGGGTAATAGAACGATTCCAATTGTACTCCATATTATAGAGTAACTGAACATAGAAAATCAATATGGTTAGCCAACGTAACCCATATAACATAACGAGTAAATAGCAAATGAAAATTGATCGAAACAGAACTGCATTTGTTAAATTTTCTCAAGATGTGAAGAAGAATTTCATTTTCTTTTAGTCCTCCTAATCGACGTTAATCATTCAACAAATTTAAATGAATTAAAACATCTGTTTCTAAAAATTGGCAACAATGAATTTAATTCTATTACTCAATTTTAATCTTTTTTTAAAAAAGGAAAAATCTGATTCAAATCTTACTATATAATATTTTAAGCGTAATCAATTGAAAATTAGACTTTGAGGAACTCTTGTACATCAGTAGGATTATGAGTATGGGCGTGTGAGAAGAAATGACTCAAACCTACACTACACCCCACAATCTGAAGCACAGCAGAATGGTTAAACGTCATTCGAGACCCGATCATTTACAATACTACTTTAGATGGCCATCAATCAAACATAAACACAAATGAGAACTTGAAAAAGAAGGAACTTTATTTGAAAATATTCGTATATCAAAACAGTGTAATTTTTGAAAACGATGACAACACTGACCGAGTCAGATTAGAGTTGAAGAAAAAACGGTGTTTTCGCTCGTAAATAGGACAGTTTCTGGTTCATTAAAACAAGTTTTTTGTTTCCAATTAAATGAATTCCACAACTTTGACATTGATAAGCTTCTTTTATTTTTCGAAAGAAACTCGAATTTCATCAAACGTTATAATAAATGCTTTTCACATGTAACAACGGCGATTCTTCAGCTCTTGTTCGATCTGGTATTGTGTACACTTGAGGTACTAATTCTTCCGAAGCAAAACCTGTCATCAAATCAAGACATTAACGAATTGTATAGCACTCTTGTGGATCTCCAAAGCCGATTTTCTGAAACTAGAAACTGTTGTAATATACATCAAGTAAAAAATTCATGACTAATCAATAGAAAAGTTCCTCTACCACCTAAATCTATCTTAACAGTGGAGATTGAGGTAAGTGGACGACTTAAAAGTACTAGTGAACAAAACTAAATAGTGTAATCTTTATCGAAAACAGTTGTTAAACGTTTCTTCAAACTTCGGTAAAATTAAGAAATAGAGTTGATGAAAATAGATAATTGAAGTGAGACGCAAATTATCCAGCTAACACTGTCCAAACCAAAGATTTTCAGTCATCCCATATATCATAATTGTTGAAATAAAACTGAATTCCATTGAAAAATGTCTTGTTTGCAACTTGCTTTTCAGAGTTTAGTCGTTGTCATCATATACTTATAAAATACATCGGAAAGGAGATACAGAGTGATATAGTAAACCATATTCTCTTCAATCACGCAGAGATAAACATATCTTCTGAAGTTTTATAGAAACAAATGAAAATGAAACGAACTGGTAAAAAATAATTGAATTATCTTGTACATGCCAATATCAGCTGTAAAATCTCCTTTCACTTTCATGTTAGTTATGTATCCAGAGAACATTGAATGTAACCAAACAATATATCTATGAACACGTTCACACTTTCTCATCCATTCTTTTTGAGACTAAAATCGAAACTCATTTAACAAAACAGCAGTAACTCAATGGTAAGTCTTTTTCAGTCATCAAAAGATAATCAGCGTGAAAATTTGGAAATTTTGTAAAACTAATGGAATTTATTATTATTGCATTTTTAATATTCATTGAAAAGAAAGAGATCAGAAACTTTATAAGAATATGATATTTGTAATGAAGAGTTTTGTTTCACAAAATAGAAATAGATTCTCGTAGATAATAATGCTTTACCCTAATACGGCAAGATAGTTGCTATGCAAATAAGAAGACTTTTAATATAGAATTATCTGAAGACAAGAAAGTGTATTTCTATTTGAGATCTCTGTGTAATTGAAACATTCGATGTGAAGATTGAAATTATAATTATAATAAATCCTTTCAAAAAGCGTAGGACCCAAAGAAATTATTTGGGATTATAATTCAGCGAATTAGTGCATTTTAACATAGAATTTAATTAATGTTCATTTATATAAGGAATTAAATGCACTCTTAACCGACAATTTTTAATCACCTTCAGAAAACTAATTTGATTTCATACTAATGATGAACGTCAAGCGCTATTATTCAATATAGATAATAGTGGGAAATAAGAGAGTTGTACTAAGGGTCTTTTCCATCAGAAAAAAAAGTGTGTTACTACCATTTCTGGGTCGGTCATAGATTAGCATGAATGAAAAGAAAAATTTTTTCTCAGATTTATTACTTTTCATTTTGCGCATATATGATTATTTTTTATCGAATGCAGATGATATCAACAGCAGCAACAGTTGATCGTATTAATTCAGATAATCAGAAATGATGACGATCTAAAAGATACTCAATTATGAAAATTATCAAATCAGTCATAAAATATCAATCATCACTTTTAAGTAGCTCTCCATCATTAATAGCTATCGAATTCAGGGAATAATTCATTCAACAGAATGTCGTCGACCGACGACTATCTACACGCGATTCTTTAGGACAAAAAAGTTTTTCATAACAAATGTTTGATTGATCAGAATGGTCATTAACAATTTTCATTATTTGTCTAAAGAGATCTAGAATTAAACTATATCAAAATTTAGCTCAGAAAATAATGAATTTGCGTCAAAATCTCACGCTCTCAATGAATTATTGTGTTTTGGAGAATTATAGATAGACGATGCCCATGCCATTTTTTCGAATGAATAAGACCCGAATTCCATCGGTGTCACGTTCAGTGACGAGAACTATTCCAAGCATGCTGGCTAATTCTGCTAAAAAAGTTGACAATGGCTTTGAATTATTTGTGTTTCGCAACTTGAATTATATTAACAATTATTAAACATTTTTCTCAAGATTTCTATAACTTGCATTTGATACGGATTCATTGTCAATTATTACACATGTTAAAATGTTTGTTATTGACTGCATGAAAATGGTTAGAAAATAAAAAGATGATGGTACAAGTAAATATTCATAGCAAGTTTCAGAAATTAGACGGACTTTGGTGTGCGAACTTAGCAGTCTAACATGTAGTAAATTGACATTATAGTTTTTTTTGAATCTTTTCATTGTTCTTTCAAACTTGATGTTATTCTACATTCTGAGGAAAAGCTTATAGAAGATTGAGAGTTATGTTTTCCAGACCGAAAGCTGGTGACAAAAAATAATTAAATACATTCTCTGAAAAGCGTCGTCTTTGAATGTCATGGAGAAAAGAACATTCTTTAATATCAAGCATTAGACGTTCTTGACAAGAAATGTGTTACTAAACTGCTATCCATAAAATTAGCTTAATCACAGAGTGATTAAAACATTGAGTTTAGCATACGAAAAAATATTGACGATGAATGATTCAATGGCTATGGTAACCAATACCGAATAATATATAATTCAATTCGCCCTACTTCTTCTACTTCACATACCTTCCAGTATCGCCTTGAGTGTAATTATCATCTATATTGTCTTAAAACCAGATTTCCGTACAAGTAGATACAATCATTCCATATGTACTCTGCTTTGTTTTAATTTTCTTCAAATCATGACTGATCTACCTATGACAATACACTTCTATCGTTCGGGTGGAGCTGCTCAACTAACAACTCCTGGTTTTTGTCTTTGGTGGATATGGTTGCAGTTTTCACTTAATGACATTACGATTGATCTCATGGCTTGGATTTCAATTGAGCATCATCTATTGAAATTCCATGCGAATTTCAAGCGTCGAATACGATCTTGGCAACGTAAGTTAATGCAAACTATTCCACTGATTATTTGTTCATTGTCGTTGTAGTTATTAGTCCCATGTGCACTAATGCATGGGTTTTCAATAGTTTGCTCTGAGGTTTACCCTGTTATTTGATGACAAATTGGGGTACGTTCGATCTTATTTTTGATGTCGTCTTTCCTGTATCAATTATATTAATTGCCAATGTCACACTCTTCTTACGTATCATTGTACGTGAGCTATTAGGAACGCGTCATAACCGAGTGAATTGGCAACAACAACGCAAAATGGTTATTCAATTGTGTCTTTTCTTCACACTTTATCTTTCGATTTGGCTTCTTTTATGCATTGTACAACTCGGTCAAATATTTTTCAACCCAAATTTTCTTCTTTATAGAGTTCCACTCCTACTTCCATTTGCTTGTCTAATATCAAGAACTGAAATTATAAGAAACAGCAAGGCACTTATTCATGAAAAACCTCACATTCGAGTAGTACCACTAGCATCAAATTAAGAACATGTGAAGAGAACAACAAAAACTAATCGCAAGATGCCAAGTCATATATGACTCAAGCATTCTTGTAATTGTATTACAATATGAAATTCAAATAAAATATGAAAAAAATAGACTTTGTACCAATAATAAATAATGAGACTCTGAAATTTTATGCTTGGTAATGTCAACGTAGAAATCGTTCTGGAGATGTGAGTGTATATGTGAATCTCCTATAAAGCCTTACTCACAATATCAACAAGCATAAATTGATAGTGATGAAATATTTTCATGTAATTCAATAGTTTTGTCAATATAATTTAATTTTTAGAGGTATCATTCCAAGTAGAAACAAGTGCACGTCTTCGTCAACGAGAAGCTTTAAATTGAAATATCATGATTCCGCGCTCTCTTAAAATTATTATTCTTTCATTGTCTTATTGAATAGGTGTTTAATCAGATTCAAAAATTTTAATTCTAGCCGAATATATTAACAACAAGCAATGGTATACTCAAATTAATATTCTATAAGCAGAATCAACAGTAGTTTAATATTAAGCGATTATGACTATCACAGCTTTTAAAATCGGTGCTAATATCAATTGAGGAAAACTATTAGGTAAATTGGTCAAAAAATAGTCAAAAAGTTAATTAATCGTATTTTTTTGCTTTTATACTCTATCCACTGCTGTTCACACTCTAATACTTTGATATGGGATATATCATCCTCGTCATAGTATTAAAAGAAACTTCATGATTACGAAAAATTATATAATATGTATCATGTTTGAATGGATCATGTAAAATAGTAGCATCGAACATCATAAAATATGAGAGAAAAAAATAACAATGAAAAGAGCAAAACATAGAAAATGCAATGATAATGAAATATAAATTGAATTACTTCTTAAAGTAGTTTAAACAGATTCTGCAATGTACAATGTAAATCACATGTTGATTTCTAGATCTTAGCCGAAAAATAAATTGAAAGTGTAAAAATAGACTTAAGATCTTGTACACATGGAAACTAGTGAAAAGTATGTTTCATTTTCAAACAACTTAAACGTCACTTTGATTGTAGCAGTTATTTCGTAACTTTGCATTTGTCGTTTTGTAAGTTTTCCTAGGAACATTTGCTGGTTCATCTGGCTCTTGATTGCTTGTGAACGTCGATGATATTAACGGCTGTTCTTCGGAAGAAGCTGAACCTTGGTTCGAAGTTCTGGAATCACTTCGATCACGCTCCGATTTATATACTGATCTTTGCTCAGCTGCTTCTCTTCTATTTGTCAGATTTGTTGCATGTTGTTGACTATTACTGGGTCCATGCTGCAAATTAGCAGATGTAGGCAACGAAGGATCTTCCGGTGTAGCAATGAAATTTCGTCGGTTGTAAAGTGATGATGCTACTGACGATGCGTCATCATCCTCAGTAGTATCAGGTTCTTCTCCCACAGGTGAATCATAAGCATTTGCATCTCCCACTGTTTCTCCAGCTACTGTATCAGAGTCACTTATATCTGAATGATCATCCATCTCAATTAGGTCAACTGGATCGCATTGTACTTCTATTGACCTTTTAGTAATTTCTTTCATTGGGACGGACTTCGGTTCAGGTTGAGCTGGTTGTCTATATGTTTTTTCCATATGTAAGTAAGACACATATGTCATATATGCACTATCTAAATTAAATTATCTCAATGAAGTTTTGTTGAACTAATACAGAGTGTTCAGTGCTTTAGTTCATGCCATCTTGTTTTAAAAAAAGACAAAAACAGAATGCATAAACGCTTATCTTATATGATTTTTTTTCCGAATCAAGAGGTAGCTTACTGACTATTCTTCGAATTTTAACTTCTCAATTTGCACTTAAAGGATTGATTCCTTTGTTTTTAATAAACACTATCAAAATTTCCTTTGTCACACTTGGTCATTTTCTCTCATCCATACATTTATATATGTCAGCATCCAATCTCGGATCGATGTCATTCTGTTCACTAAAATGTCAATAGCTCTTTAATTAGACGTCACATTAAAAGGATTTATTAAAATTATATCCACGTGATATCGATTTGTTTGGCGCAGTTGTCGTTGCAAAGATTAAAGGAAAGATTTAGGAACTATGAGTAAATTTTTCAGAACGACAACTTTTATAAAAAATTGTTATTAAGGTTTTGAGTTTAAATTAGGTTGCTATGCAAATGCTTACTGCATTTAATAGGATTTTATACAAACATAATTTCAAAAATCCATTCGACTCTGACGTCTATCTAACAAGTTATTAACGTTTTATTAAGCAGAATTGCGTCGATCCGAGATTGGACACTGACATATACATAGTAGCTGACAAATGTAGAAAGTGGTATTCTTTGTTTAAATGATAAATGCAGTAACAATACGATTCATTATGTATTCAGAAAGATGAAGAAAAATTGTTTGTCAATACAGATCTAACTGTTCAAACTCTTACCATATTCCTCCCATTGACGTCCAAAATAACTGCAGTCAAATCGAGGCATCAGTAGAATATTGAGTAAAACTCCCTTGATCAAACGAAAAATAGGAGAAAAAACGGCGATGTAACAATCTAGCAATACGTATATGTCATATTATTTACTTATTACTAGAACTTATGAAAAACAGCTTACTGAAGACAAGTGTTAAATAAACTAGAATTGTATATACATCCTTATTCCATGTACTGGATTCGTTTTCAGATTGATAGGAAGTACTGAATATGCAGACCCATTGTGTAACATAATGTTTCAATGTATATAAAACTAATACGGGTGCAATGAATGCCACTAAGGAAAACATTAAATCAAGACGATGTATTTGAAGTGTAAAAGCGTGAAATAAGAAAAGACTGTATATGCTGACGATTATTAAAATAATATGGAACCAAATATAATAGCCACCCACTACGCTGAAGAAAACAACACCAATATATTCAACAGATTTGGGAGCTATTGAATTTTTTTCTAATTTAGACTTTGATAAGATTTCTTCATAATTGTCTTTTTTCAATTGTTCCGTATGGTCCTTATAATTCATTATTCCCTTAACCAATTGAATACTGAAGATGATCATTGTAAGAATAGCACTAAGAAAAAACTCCTTTTCAAATGACCATTCATCGATTTCTAAAAGTCGATGCCATCAATTATTTGAATACAAGCAAAAGTGAACTTACCAATTTTCAAAGTATGTTCCAAACAAAATATTAAGAAGGACATGGAACTTGTTTCCATAATTGGTTGAAAAGCAAAGATACATGTCAAATAGAGAAGCAGAACAAAAGCTATCGTATATGCACATGTAGTCATGGTGGTGAATCCAAAATTTTTATCCCATCGATTGATTTTATCGAGTACCCCACATATAGATGAGCATATTGTTGAGGATGCATTGTTTTCCTGTACTGGATCTGATGACTCACTGCTTTTCGAATGCATGTCAAATTCAATACCTGGAGTAAGTACCTCTTCGGGCTTTTCATTAGTTTTCTTCGAACAAAATATTGCATCATAAAAAAAACGGACGGCAAGTTCTGCCCCAATGTATGAAAGTAACATGAACTGAGGTGCACTTTTAAGTAATCCATAAATGATCGCCCAATTCCCAAGTTCCTAAATGATGGTTTTTGAGTTCTTTCAATTGAATCTTCTAAACAAAGTATATGACATACCAATCGGCGTTTTGCTTCATCTAATAATGATATTTTTTCCGACTTTGGTAAGAAGTTCATGCATGAACATCGACGAATGATAATGTATATAATATTGACCATCATATAGATGAAAGCAAGAAGGCGAATGCAGCGACTTCGTTGTTGTAACGAAATAAATATTGGATAATAACGAATACTAAATATAAATAAAGTTTATCACGAGATAATAAAGGAATATCAAACTGACCTATATACCAAAGGAATTAAAACACGATCTAAAAACTGCTCGAGTACACCTCGATTCCATAGTTCACTTATATCAATTAATACATTTTCGAGAGCCATCAGCACTTCGATCATAACTATACCAGCAAGTGCAGCAGTCTCCATTCGATTATTTATTGCGAAAGGTTCAATTGGTGATAAACAGCCTTCAAAATTATATTTAAATATCTAATCATTAATTAAATCATGTGATAAACATACCATTTTGCCGATTTTTTTTCGATTTACTTAAAACGATAAAAATAAGGCAAAGTGCTGTAGAAATCATTATGAAGATGTAATTGTCAAATCGAAAAATAGATTTATGTTCACATTGTGTTATCATTCGAATAACATGATTGATTAACGAGTCAAAGTTCGATTGATCAACATTATTAAATCGAAATGATCTCAATTGATAGATAGTTGGAATAATGCATAGAAGGCAGAGAATGATGGAAGCTAAGATAAAAACATATGACAATCGAAGGACGTGGTTCTCTTGAGTTTCACTAAAAATAATGAGATTTTAAAGGTATACATTAGTTGACCATTGATATCAAATACGATATTTTGTTTTCTCTTATTACTACGCTTCAATATCTCAATCACATTGAGAGTGTATAGTACTCATTCGATTAATATGACAATCAATGGCACGTCTATTTACTGCAGTGAAAGAAAGATTTTTTTAAAGACATAAACGTTTTCATATCGAATACGACTTTCTGATACGTAGAGAACTCGATAATTTCCCTATGAAAGTTTGTAACCTTTCCATATAATTTGCCATTCGAGATATCTGGTTCTAACGTATCTGATGGTCGCTATATTGATTTTTTAAATGTTTTAATTGTACAGATTCGTTTAATGATGCTTGTTTAGAAATCTAAATAGAACTCACTTTTTGGACGTTGGTGGATTTTGAATTTTTCCATTACTAGGAATTTCATTTTTGCGTTTTTCATCAGGTGCACACGACGATTCTCTAAAAAAGCTATTAAAAGAAAAAGAAACATTGATGAAGGGAAAAAGAAATCAAAAACTAACTCGAAGAGTTTTTTTAGACCAAGTTTTTGATATTTCTGTAATGGCTCGATTCTTAATGTTACAAAAATAAGCAGGATTATAAAAATACCAATCAAAAGTTGTATGAATTTCGTAGAAACTATAAAGTAATCAATGAACAATATATGTTGCATTATAAATAAGAGTTCTTTTTTACTTTTATTACACAATAGACCATCCGTATAAAAATAACATGAACATTTGAACCCAAATAGATTATTAACACAACTTCCATGTTTTCCACATATTGTATTGTCAAAACAAAAGTCAAGTACTGAAGTTGAGAAAAAGACAAATGAAAGCATTTTACCTAATGTTTCTATACATCAATAAACTACTAACCATATTGGCACATGTGTGTGTAGCTCATGTTAGGATCAATGTCATGTATTGAGCAAATAAATTCATTTGACCTCAAGTACCTGATTAGTAAAAATGCATTTAAATCGTGCTTTGATGCACTCCATTCAAATCGATCACAGACTCCACAAATATCATCAAATCGCTTCAAATCATTGTCAGTGATGAAGGAATTGATTTCATCTCTCTTAAAATGAATTTCCTCATTCGCAGTTCTACTGTTGGATATGGACCATCGTGCAGTGGTGAACTGTGATTGATTCTGTGCGCAAATACTATGATTAAGCTGATTTTCAGTAGGCAAGTTTTGGTCATGTTGCCATTGACAGAATTGCTTTTTCTTTCGCTTATAATATTTGAAACTGGCTTGCCTAAAATTGTTTTCGGCAGACTGCCATCCTGTCTTGTCTTTGACTGAGAATTTGTCGGTAAATAATTTATCTGATAAAAAAATACATTTTGAAATCAAGAAAAAAACTACTAGACATTTGATCGATCTTACTCTTGAATAAATTTGAATTGACTGCAATGAGTAGTTCTGATAAATCGTTTGTAACGAGAATATGAGCGGCATAGAAAAATTCGAACGCATGTCGAATTTGCATCAGTTGTGAATTATCCAAGTGAGTGAAATTGCACGTACGATTGGCTTCGTAAACTGTTGACGTTGCATTGGGTTGATAATAACATGAGCCACCAAATTGTTGCCATTGATCGGGACATCGAAATCGATTAACTAAAACAATCCGGGATTTAAAGAAACTCGATGTTTCTTAGAACTTTCATCTGACATAATGATCTTAGTTCAATTTGAAAGAAACGATTTTCACCTGAAAAATATCAATGGTAGATTTTCCGAGCCTCCAATAGAAAACTGAAGAAAACAAGACATTATCTTAGTCGATTTATTCTTTATTTTCGTCCTAATTTAGCATCTAAATGATGCTTATTATCTTTTTGTTCCTCTTTATTGATGATGACTCAAAGAATTCCAATTGACATTAATCGAATGTGAAGATCTAAGTTGATGAAACACTTCTGAAAGCTCATAAAAAAAAGAAAATTAACTATGTATCATATTTTGTACGTTTTTGTCATTGAATTTTCTATTGTCGTGTGTTTGACGCATAATATAAGAAAAATTCTCTACGTTAACACATCTACGGTATTAATCATTTATAGTTTTGGTATCTAACTGCTAGATAGTCCATAAAATCTCAGCGAAATCTATGTCTCTTATTACAACATCAAGATATGTTATTCAACATCACTTACCAGCGTCTTG